TACCTTTTAACTGAATATATATATTTTATATTAGTTGTAGTGGTTACATGATCAGAATAACTCAGCAACATTGGATTCAGTTTTGTTGAATTTATACTTTTAAGCAAAAAATACTAATTGCAGATTAGGTTGTTTCTCCTTTTGATCATCTCATCAGGTCAGAGTGAGTAAGAACAAGAGATCAGATAAAGAGGAAGTAGAAACGACCTTATCAGTAAAAAAGTCATCGTCATTCTGGTTTCAAGCACAAACTGTTCAATGTGTTTATTCCTGGTCTCTCCAGTAGTTACATGGAGTTATCATGTCCATAAGAAGCTTAAAACTGAACATTGACATGTGAGGAAACTTAGAGGAGAAACATTTGAGCTAAACCTGAAAACTGAAAGCTTTTCTCTCTTCAGCGCCATCTGGAGGCAAAAAGTTCATGTGGACAATAAAATTACTTATTTCATTTTTCTTTACACTCAGATTTATTAATCTCATTAGTTAAATGTTTTGCTGACCTGAAACATTGAGTTAATGTTTTTTTAATTGTAAAGATGCAGTTTTACTTTTTTTTATAATTCCAAACAGGAACAAAAATCAGCTGCTGTTATAATGGATTAGACTTTCTTGGACAAGATCAATATTTGACTATTAATTTCTATATTTAAAACTATTATTGTGGCATATTCTGTCCTCTACAGAATCAGTTTACTTTAGTACCCTTGAAACGTGAAAAGTTTCTGAAAATTATTTTGTTGTGCTTCTTCATCCTAACTGACCTAAAAGACAAAATGACTAAGATACATTCAGTGATTTAGTCATTTCTTTCCAAAAATCTGTAGTTTGTTGGATAGACTGTATTTACCATTATTTTTTTTTTAAATGGTACATTTTTAAAATGTCCAACTTGTTTAAGACTTGCTCTGGATTTAAAAGTTAAACTGATTAGTCACATTGTTGAGAAATCTTCCAAATATAAGTGATGGTAAGTGTTTTATTGTTTTTTTTTTTTTTGTTTTTTTGTTTTTTTACAGAAACAGACGTCACTCTTACAGCAGACAAAACAACCATACCAGCAGGGGGCAGTGTGACAGTGAACTGTAATGTGGAGAAACCTGCTGGTTCATCATATGAACTCTGTAGACGAACCTCATCCACAGGTCTGACTAAATCAGAGTTTAGGTCAGATGGAGTTTTCAATATAAGAAAAGGAGGATTCTACAGCTGCAGAACTGAAAATAAAGAAAGCTTGACTTCGGAGAGTAAAGAAATCTTAATTTTTGAGAAAGTTGAGTTTAAATATGCAATTGACATGAAATAGCAGACTTTCTGAGGATTAATTTAGATCAGTTCTTAATTTTTAACTTCTGGAAGTTGAATTTCATGAAATAAATCAAACTCATTCATCTTCTATTTACGTTTCAGGCACTTTCTAGTTTTTAATTTAAGGATGATAATAGTTTCTGTTTTTATTGCATTTTTTAATAGTTTCCGGCACAGCCTCAGTGACTCTGCAACACAGCTGGTCTCCGATATACAGAGGAGAGACAGTCACTCTGAGATGTGAGATCCAGAAAGATGAAGGACCTCAGTGGGCGTATTATTGGAGCATTAACAGTGGAAACCCTACACCATCCAATGAATTCAAGATCAACACAGATACTGAGTCCTACAGTGGAGAATATCAATGTTCGGGTAGAAGAAACAATCAGCTAACAGAATGGAGTGATGCCTTCAGACTGCCAGCTTTATGTGAGTCAGACTGATCTGCATTCATACTGAGAATGTTCTGTCTTTAGTTTACTGATCTACATAAACAAACCAGAACAGGAAGCATTTCTGATCCAGGATCCTCATGAAGCTCTCTCGTGATTTCTCTGGTAAACATCAGATATTGAACTGAACTGTAGCATTACTGGAAAACAGAGAGAGAATAATAATAATGATAATAATAATACTACTACTAATAATAATAATAATAATCTCTCTCTCTCTCTCTCTCTATATATATATATATATATATATATATATATATATATATATAGAGAGAGAGAGAGAGAGAGAGAGAGAGAGAGAGAGAGAGAGAGAACACATTTTGGAGAACTGTGTCTGTTTTAAAAACTAAACAGATGCAAAGAGAGGAGAGTTAAGATGAATTCTGTAGTTAAAGATAAACACTGAATCAGATTTAGCATCACATCGCAGCAACAAACTGTCTACTGGACAAGATGTTAAAGAACAACGGGATATATGTATGTTATATTATGGTTTCTCTCCAGTATGAAATGTATCATATTTAAATGTATATTAACTGAGTTCAACACTAATCGACACCACTAACTGAAATAGTTACATATTTAATCACTCTCATGTTTATAAACAAGATTTACTAGCAGATGTCAAATAAATTATTTTATTATAATTAATACATTTCTGACAGTACAAGAAGATTGTGCAGTGATCCTATAAGCAGCAACATGATGAAAACATTTCCAGATTCTGTGATTTTCTTGAGTTTTTTCAGTCTGATGTTAAAAACTCTTCCTGAGTCGTTCAGTCTGGATCTTCATCCTTCTGGACCTCCTGGTTGATAAATACACAAGTAGCTTTAGAAATTGTAAGACAGAACTTAATTATGAATGCAGGTTTGAGATTATGCTTACAATAACGAAATCTCTTTCATTTTATTATTATTGTATATTTTTAAGATATAATTTAATTCATATTCATCATATTATGGTAAATCTGACCTGTCAATCATGTTTAGGTTTCATTATTTGTGTTTGGTTCTAGAAGGTGAATACGTGATTTATAGTAACAACATAATATTTCTTTAAGCAATAATCTGAATATTTAATTGTATTTATGTTTTGCCACGACAGCTGCTAAACCCAAAGCCACAGTAACACCAGAGAAAATATTCCTGCCAGCAGGGGGCAGTGTGACACTGACCTGCTCTGTTTTTAACTCTGACGGCTGGAAGTTTGACTGGTTCAGACAAAACTCAGAGTTTTCTACAGCTCAGCTCATCAGAAACAATGAACCAGATGCAGTCCTCAGTGTCTCAGATGAAGGTGTTTACAGCTGCAGAGGAGGAAGAGGAGATCCAGTTTTCTACACTGAATACAGCAATGAAGTCGACGTTAAAACTGGTGAGAAAGACATTAGCATCTTCAAGCTTTGGATGATTTTAAACTGATTCTTAGATCAGGTGTTACAAAAAGGAATATCTAGGCTGAGATTAGATATTTACAGCTGACAGTATCCTGGTATGGAAAGTATTTGTTAGATTTACGGATTTTAAATTAATGACTTCTTTTCTATATTATTCATGATAATTCATTGTCTTGTAAAATTAACTTATGTTTTGTGCATTTTCAATGATTTCTTTAATTGAACGTTTTTTGTAATCTTAACCCTTGAACTTAAGGGTTAATAAATTTAACCTGACATAGCAGGAAAAGTTTTATTCTCTAACCACAGATTTCTTTCTGTGAACAGTCTCCATTTATGTGACCCTGAAACCCAACTGGCCTCATATATTCAGTGGAGAGACGGTCACTCTGACATGTGAGATCAATGGAGGAGGAGAAACTCAGTGGACGTATGAGTGGAGGACAAATGACCAAAACTCTCCAACATCCAGTGAATATAGGATCAACGACGTTACTGAGTCTGACAGCAGAGAATACAGCTGTAGAGGAAGAGGAAACCATCAGTTCACACAATGGAGTGATAATTACTCATTAACTGTTTGTAAGTAGATAATCTATCGTAGATATGAAATAATTATTTACAATGTAATATAATGTCATTAAGTCACATCTAAACGGCTCACTTGAAAAAAAACATTAAGCTATGATGGTGTTCACTAAAGTTCACTTCTGTTATATTTCATAATGTATTTAAGATGCAGATTACAGTATTTTCTGTTTAGACTTTTAAACCAGCTCTACTTTGATGCTGCTGGGCAGCCAGACTTCGTTTTAACCTTTTTAGCATCCTGTCAGCACAGATTAGATCCATATATTTATATTCACTTTAACAGGCTGATGCTGAAAGATGAAGATTTATTAGAAAATGAAAAGGAAAACAAACTCAATGCCCAAAGTTTCTTTTGTTCAATTCTATGGAAATAAAGAATAAATCCAAATTACCTTTTTATAATTTTGGATTTAAGATGAAGAATATATTACAACTGTTGTGTTTAATAAAAAAAGAAGCCAAACCTGGTAGAAAAACAAAAATACTGAAATTAGAAAGTCTGGAGGATGTTTGAACACAATCAGTTTTAAACTGATCAGAAATTTAGCTTTCTTGGAAGGACAGTATAGAGAATGAATGATTGGACCAAGACTTTTGCACAATACTGTCTCTATTTTAGTAAAATGTCTCTCATATAAAATCCCTCCATGCTACAATGAGCCAATAAAAGCTGATAGGAGGCAGATTGTGATTCTCTGGTCCTGCTGCAGTTTTCCAGGAGGCCACTGTGGTTCCTCTGAGTTCAATTCATCTGATTGAAAGTTTAGAAAAATCACCACTAGACTAAAAATAGTTCAACCTTTAGTTGTCAGCAGAGCTTTCCTTGTTGAAGGACTGAGAAGTGATTTGTGCAGTAGAGCTGATTTCCAGCCCAGTTCTCCTGACTGCAGCAGAACATTAGAAGATGTTCTGGTTCAGTAGTTTGGTTCAGCTCAGCTCTGACTGGGATTTGATACAACATGATTTTATTCAATCACAGTCAGATTATTATGATTTCTGTGTTTTATTAGTTAATATATTGATGAACAGTAGATGCTCTAATGCAGGGGTGGCCAAGTCCAGTCCTCGAGAGCCACCATCCTGCAAGTTTTAGAAGTATCCTTACTCCAACAGACCGGGATCAGCTCTCCAGAGGCCTGATAACGAGCCAGTCATTTGATTCAGGTGTGTTGAAGCAGGGATGCATCTGAAACTTGCAGGATGGTAGCTCTCGAGGACTGGACTTGGCCACCCCTGCTCTAATGTGAATAATCTGCATGTTTATGAGAAAAGATTATTTTAGTGTTAAATTTCAATATATATGTGAATCCATAACAACCACATGTACTGCTGTATAAAAACATTTGACAGATAAAATGAGTCAATAGTTGTATTGATCTTTGTCTTTTCCTCAATCAGCAACTAATAAACCCAGAGCCACAATGACAGCAAGACAAACGATCATACCAGCAGGGGGCAGTGTAACACTGAGATGCTCTGTGGACATCGGTGATGGTTGGAGGATTTACTGGTTCAGACAGGATCCAGATCAGCCAATAGGAAACAGTGATCCAGATGGAGTCTTCATCGTCTCAGATGAAGGTGTTTACAGCTGCAGAGGAGGAAGAGGAGGAAGAGGAGATCCAGTTTTCTACACTGAAACCAGCAGAGAGGTCACCATATGGAAAACTGGTGAGTTTAGTTTCTGTTCATCAATGAAACAAACAAATTATCTTGAATTTGTAAATATGTTTATAAAAGCTTTTCATTTTTGGAATGTAAAGTGTAATTTTGTTTTACCTAATGATGTTACACAAGATTTTATTGCATGTATTTATTATTTAAATCTCACATCAACCTGCTATGAAATCTATTTATTAAGTTTAAAAGTTTTTAAACTGAAGGTGGTATTATTATTTCTGCCATGTTTTACAATAAATATTACTTCTATATGTTTAGAAGACACATTTGTATTAATAATTTTATTTAATACCCTAATTTATTCCATTTAAATATTTTTTTCTTATATAAATTTGATCTTTGAATTCAGTGAATGATTCCCTCCTGAAAAAGATCAAATGATTTACTTCTGACTTTGTTATTGTTACATTTCTAACCAGAGATTTCTTTATGTGAACAGTTTCCATTAAACCCACAATAACCTGGAAACACAACTGGCCTCCGATATTCAGTGGAGAGAAAATCACTCTGAGATGTGAGATC